TGGAGATGAAGATGAAGGCTTTTGGGATGACAACCTAAACTCGACCATACAACTACATTTGATGCGAAAGGTATGCATTAATTCAAAAGATCTCTATAGGTTTTTCTTCTTTTAAGTTTTATCTATTTCTTGTTTCGTTTATTACACAAATCTTCACTTGGAGTCTTTAAAATAACATGAAAAAGTAGAAAGGTATGTATGAATGCTTGATAGATCATGATTTTGAAAAGGAAAATTTTTGCTATAATTTTTCCTTTCACCTTCAGTATTGTGGTGTTTCTATGTCCGCAGAGTCAAGGTGATTCTGAAAATTGAGATCAAAGAAATCGCGGCTTATGTCCTTTCCAAGTGAAATTTGATGGTGAGTCGGTCTCATGCTTCCATCATCTCTACAATTGTTTGATAAGGGTACATCTCTTGTAAACATGCATGAAGGTATATTGAGGCTGCTTTCTTAGCTTGTTGCAGGTCTGAATGGTGTACACGTAAGTTGGATGTGAAGTTGTCACATTGCTTGGTGCTGCTTGGTGCCCAGAATGTTACCTCACTAACTAAAACCGATTCCTTTTTTCTACCAAAAAAAAAAAAAAAAGACAAATCTTTTCTATTTCTCGTACACTTGTGCAACTTGTATTTTATGTATTATTAATGTCACGCCCCAGAACCCTAATCCGAGGCGCGACAGACGCCGTGCACTCGTGAACGGGTCCCACGAATGCACAAGGCTCGGAACTTATTTAATTCACATCTGACCATCCAATAACTCAAATCAATTATCTCAAAATAATTCTATGTCCAACATGACAACCTCAAAATCTCAAGATCAAATCTCCAAATCAATCTCTTATAAACTAACAATCCACCAATGAATTTACAATCTCCAATTAAAATCTCGCTTACAATATCATCATTTATATCTAAGATCCATATTCAAATTACAGGTAGCTAGCCTTCTAACTCGTCACTCCCCTTGGTTTCCCCGTCCTCGGTTTCGTTTTCTGAAATGGTGGACAAAGAAAAACTAAGAGATAACTCAGTAAGTAAATATGGATAGCCCTTGGGTAAAACTTTTAACATGTCAGATAAACCATATAAGCATAACATAACTTTCACTGATAAACCGTTAATGCGGAAATCAAATTCGGTTCAATAGCAAAACGTTCAATGACAAAACCGTCAGTGCAAAATCAGATTCAGTTCCATTGCAAGGCATTCAATGACAAACCGTCAAAACAGAATCAGATTCAGTTCAATAACAAAACATTTCATGACAAACCGTTCATGCAGAAGAAAACTCAGTTCAGTAGTCTCATCTATAAGTCATGGCCAGCGTTTATAAACCTCCCACTGGCGGGCACAGTAGTTACCAATGTTTAACCCCATTGGCAAGGTTACAGAAGTACCAGCGTTTATAAACCTCCCACTGGCGAGCACAGTAGTTACCAATGTTTAACCCCATTGGCAGGATGAACCGGTTCTATCAGTAAACATGTCGACATGTGCTAGCGTTTATAAACCTCCCACTAGCGGGCACAGTAATCATGACTATATCCGAGACAAAACCATGCAAGATTTCCAAAAAAGTCCATAATTCACAATCAATCTCCAATTTCAGAAATAAACCAGAAATTTCCATGTGGGCATGAATTTAACAGAAACTCAGAAAACTTTTAGTTCATCAAAACAGTTCAGTCAATTCCAAATAGGCATGCTCTACTCAATGCAAGTGAAAAACAATTTCACGTGGGCATGCTCAACTCAATACAAATGAAAACAGTCTCATTTCAAACCAATCATGCTCGGTGCAATAACTCCAGAAAATCAATGAAATGCTCATTTTCATTTCAATCATACTCAATTCCAGAAAATCAATAAAATTCCCGTTTTCATGCTAATCACGCTCAATTCCCGAAAAACAATGAAATTCCCATAAAATCATCACAATTTCCATTTCAGTTTAATCACATTCAAATACTGATAAAATTGATTTAAAATCAATTTAAACCTTGCCACCATCTCAAAAACA